TTATTATATAATGTAGGTAATTTCTGGTGTATATCAAGGTGTCACCACTGTTGAACTTGATTTATTGGCTGCAGAAACTGCTGCTTACATGACAACTAAGCATCCTGATTATGCTGTTTTGGCTGCTCGTATTTCAGTATCTAACCTACATAAAGAAACCAAAAAACAATTCTCTTCTGTCATTGAAGATTTATATAAATATGTTAATCCAAAAACAGGGAAAAATTCACCAATGATTTCAAAAGAAACTTATAATATTGTAATGAAAAATTCTGCAATACTTAATTCTGCAATTATATATAACAGAGATTACAATTACAATTATTTTGGTTTTAAAACACTTGAAAGATCTTATTTGATGAAGATTGGTGGAAAAATTGTTGAACGTCCACAACACATGTTAATGAGAGTTTCTATTGGTATTCATGGTGAGGATACTGATGCTGCAATAGAAACTTACAATCTAATGTCTGAAAAATATTTTACTCATGCATCACCTACTCTATTCAATGCTGGAACTCCTCATCCACAACTTTCCAGTTGTTTTCTACTCACCATGAATGATGATTCCATTGAAGGAATTTATGATACTCTGAAAAGATGTGCAATGATTTCTAAATCTGCTGGTGGTATTGGTATAAGTGTACATGGTATTCGTTCTACTGGTTCATATATTGCTGGAACAAATGGCCAATCAAATGGAATTGTTCCCATGCTTCGTGTATTTAATAATACTGCAAGATATGTAGATCAAGGTGGTAATAAAAGACCTGGTGCCTTTGCCATCTATTTAGAACCTTGGCATCCTGATATCTTTGAATTCTTGGATTTAAAAAAGAATACTGGAAAAGAAGAAGTTCGTGCTCGTGATTTGTTCTATGCACTTTGGATTCCTGATCTTTTCATGAAAAGAGTTGAGGCTGATGCTAATTGGAGTTTATTTGATCCAGCAGAAGCACCTGGATTAATGGATGTATGGGGTAAAAAATTTGAGGCAAGTTGATTGATGTATTTGTATATAAATATATACTGATATTACTTTTGAAATTAGTAATTAAATTAATATTGCTTAATTATTTTTTTTTAAAAAAATAATAGAAATTATATGAATCATATGAACAAAAAGGTCTTGCACGCAAAGCTGTAAAAGCTCAAAAACTATGGCTTGCAATTTTGGATTCACAAATCGAAACTGGTACACCATACATGCTTTATAAAGATTCATGTAATGGTAAATCTAATCAACAAAATCTTGGAACAATCAAATCCAGTAATTTGTGCACAGAGATTATTGAATATTCTAGTCCTGATGAAGTTGCTGTATGTAATTTGGCTAGTATTGCGTTACCAATGTTTGTAGAAAATAAGGATGAATACAATTTTAAACAATTACATGAGGTAAATAAAAAAAAATTTTGTATTATATATTTATATATATACTATTTCAAATAATTGTAAGTTTCTAAAGTTTCTAATAATATTATTAATAATTTAGGTGACAAAAGTTATAACACGCAATCTAAATAAAATTATTGATATAAATTATTATCCAGTTGAAGAAGCAAAGAGATCAAACCTTCGTCATAGGCCTATTGGTATAGGCGTTCAAGGTACAGAACAACATTCATATTATTTTTTATTTATTATAAATAAATTTACATTCTATTAAAAATATTGATTGATTTAATTCACCCACCCGCCTACTTTTTGTTCATTCATTTATCTAGGACTTGCTGATGCATTTCTTTCAATGAGACTTCCTTTTGATTCAACAGAAGCCAGAGATTTGAACAAAAAAATTTTTGAAACAATTTATCATGGAGCTTTAGAAGCATCATGTGAGCTGGCAAAGGAGAATGGTACATATGAAACTTATAAAGGATCACCAGTATCTAAAGGAATTCTCCAATATGAGATGTGGGATAAAGTGACCCCTTCAGATTTATGGGATTGGAATTCTTTGAAACAACAAATAGCAGAACATGGAATTCGTAATTCATTATTATTAGCTCCAATGCCTACTGCCTCTACTTCACAAATTCTTGGATTTAACGAATGTTTTGAACCATACACTAGCAATATTTATACTAGACGTGTATTAGCAGGCGAATTCCAGATAGTGAATCCTTGGCTATTAAAAGATTTGATAGATTTGAATTTGTGGAATGACAATATGAAAAATAGAATTATTGCGGATAATGGAAGCATACAGAAAATC